GATTTGTTTTCCTAGTAGTGGAAGACTTCCAAACCCTTTGTGTTAAACCCTTTGTGTTGGATTAAATGATCCAGGATAGTTCTTTCTCTTTACATTGTTGAGTCTCATGGTTGGTTGTGTAGTGGTTACAACAGCAGCTTTTCTTTCAGGGGTGTTGGGAATACAATCTTTGCCCAAGTAAGAGCCCTCCCTTTGTAAGTAAGGTACTGAAAAGCTGAACAACTGAAGGGATATTTCAGGTAGTGAAGATCAGTCAGGCCTGTAATCAATGCCTGTTTCATAAATGAAGCAACTCTGGGTCCCAAAAGTTGGACTCTTTTATGTGCTGCTGAGCAGGGGGCTGTGCAAGGGATTTCTGCTCTGAGCAGGCATCTCCTCACTGCCAGGCTGGGCAATGCCCACCAGTTCTGCAGCAGGTCCTGCCCCTGGGCTGAACTCACCTGTTGGTCTGGGCAGTGGTGGTGGCTGCTCTTGGCAGAGCTTTTTTTTCTGTCTTCAGGGTTTCAGTCTCCATCTGGTGTCAACATCCCATGAACTCATCACAGTTCGACCTGACCACCTTCCTAGTTGGCCTGTTACGTTGTCACCTGAGTTGTCTTCTGCTCAGTGGGATTTCTGGTTCTTGTTTCCCACTGAGAAGCTTTAGAGCAGGAGTTCATTTTCCTTTTACCCCCATTTGTGTTACCCAGTTCTATGTGTCTTGACCAGTTGTGTTCTGTACTGATAACAGATTTCTTTCATTACCACAGTCCCATCCTTTCAGGATCTTCAGTGGTATCTAATGGTGATCCTAAAGGTACCCTGATGGTATAAACTGCCTGTACCTCAGTGTCCTTGCTCTGGAATTGACACAGATCAGCGGATGTTTAGCACCAGATTTCACAGTATCTGGTCCTGAGTTTTCCTTTCCTGCTTTTTCCTAGGAGCATCAGCTTCCCTCCCACCCCCATGTGAATTATTTTGTCATGTATCAAAAGTTAATTGGTGTGAGGGGCCTGTTTTTCTGATTTCTCAAATAACCAAATGTGAAAAACATTGCCCACTGCTCTCTCGAGATTTACAAAAGATTAAAGAACTCCTGTTTTGTGACTTCAGATGAGCTGTTTGCTGAGAACTGCAGTAGTGACAGTTGTGGTTTTCTTTGCAGTTTTGGAGAGTTGGCTGGATTACACAGGAGAGCTGGAACCCCCCGAACCACTGGCTCGACTGCCCCAGCTCAAACACTGTATAAAGCAGCTGATAACGGACCTGGGCAAAGTGCAGCAGATCGCCCTGTGCTGCTCCACGTGAGGCTGGGCAGGGGCACTGCCACTGGGCACGAAGCTGGAGCAGCTCTGGATCTGTACATCACGTTGGCATGCTGGTTGCATGGGATGCAGATTGACTTCGGGGACTTGTGCAGAAGTGTTGTTCAAAGAACAGCTAAAAGGTTATTTTGGGTTTATTAGGCAATTACAACGCTGTGGAAGAGGCCATACCCTTTTCTCCAGAGGTTGGATGTCGGTTGATAAATTATACTTAAATTTTCACTCCTTAAAAGTTGCTCACTGAAACGGTAGACATGTTCATCATTAAATTGACTAAAAATTGTGCCACTGAAGAACAGAGTTCCAAGAGCCAAAAATGTTTGGTTGACAGAGGTTGTAAATAACTTTGCATAGTTTAAGTGACTCGTGTCATGTTTTATTCCTTCTGGTTTATGCATACTAGCACTCAGTATTTAATCATTAGGAAATGTTATAACAGTTTCAGACTTAGTAAGTATGAATGTCCAGCTCTTAACTATAAAGTGTTATGTGGAGGTTTGCAAGTAACGGTGGTCTGACCCCCACTTCTGTTACAGTAAATAATGTAGCAGGAGGTCACAGGTGGATTGCACTTATTTTCAGAATAAATGATTGTTTTCCATATTTATCCTGTCACTGTCACATGACTTGGTACTGGGGAAGCCCATGAACGTGGTGTTTATGTGCATTCTTGAGCTCTTTGCTCCGGCCATCCTGTGCTCCTGCAGCAGGACGGAATGTGCCGGGAAAGGCCCGGAGCTGCGCTCCCAGCTCACTCTGCAGCATGGTCTGTCATGGATGTGATGTATTTTCTACCCATTTGTTAATAATTGCCATTCCAGTTATATTTGGAAATGTAGACTTTTTGCAATACTCTGGATGTGTTTGTTGTAAAGACTCGCTATGAATGTGTGGTTTGGGGAATCAGTTTATTTTATATTGGTGTAAATAAAGCCTCAAGATCTATGCATGAGGTGCTGTCCTCGCAGACAGCGAGTGGGTTATTATCTTAGATGATCTGTGTTCACAAAATCCCTTTTTATACCTTAAGTTTTAATTTTCTGGTTTGTACTTTGTGAGAGCAAGGTGACAATGCTGCTGATGTTCAGTCATGTTATACAGTCTTTGGAAAGTCGTGAGTATTTGAGACGTTCAAAATCTTTCAGCTGCAAATCACCGCTCCTGAAATAATGGCTGTGACTTTAGTTTTCCTTCCCAAACGTTGCTGAGTTCAGTTTCCTGTGGAACGTAGTAAACTGGTTTTGCAGTGAGAAGGTGTCCTTAAAAAGCTGGATTTGTTACCTTGATTTTATTGTGTGCAATGGTACTACCAAAGGGTAACATTCAGGCACAGTTTTAATGGAAAGGCCCATACCTGTACAAATCATTAATTTGGAATATAGATCTGTAATATGTGTATTCTGCAAAGAATAATGTAAACTTGAAATATCCAATATTGTTGTAGGAGTTACAGTATCTACACAGTCAATATTTTATTTCCTTCAGAAGACAAAATAATTAGGCTGCTCTAGGTAGTAACTAAGGCTTTTGTGCCAAGATTCAGTTCAGGGAATAATTTGTCTCAGTTTTATAGTACTAGTTGGTATATAGTGAATACAACATATGTACAGCAGAAAAATAAACTTACTTTTCTGTAGCACAGTTGGAATAAAGCTTACATGGTATTTAAGGATCACTTGGCTCTCTGAGGATGAGACCATTACACCGTGGCTCGTTCCTGTCAGACCCCCTGAGTTCACCTGTAGCTCTAGAGCAGGTCACAGTGACCAGACCAGCAGAGCAGCATCCGAGCAGCCCCCCCAGCCAGGAGGGAATGTTTGGGGTGGGATGGAGCAGACAGGAGCTCCCTGGGTGCTGGCTGTGATCAGCACTCCTGCCACCCTTGCAGGACATGGCTCAGCTGTGCTCCCAGGCCCTGGCAGGCTTCTTGCTCCAGGGGGGAACAACTTCTCAAGCAATGGCTTCTGTTTGCTCACTGTATGTTTTTACTTGTCAGTTAATTTTTGCTCAGGGCAGTACTGGAGGTTTGGAGGAAAAGGTGGTTCCCATGGGTAGATCACATGGCAGATCCTGGAGACTTGTTTCCCTTCAGTAGTGCTGGGGAAGCCCTTACAGATAAAGACTGAAAATATTTATTTAAAATAGAGTAGCACTTCTCCTGATCAGGAAAGATTCTTCATTTGTGCTCTGCCTGGGTTCGTTTCTGTCCCTGTTTTTGCAAGTTTCCACATTGTTGTTATTAACCTGAACCAACTGTTCAGGCTGACAGGTCACTTTTTTGTTTCTTTAAATCACTGGTAAGTGAATGCAACGTGGAGCCTTGATGAACTGAGCAAACATTGCACTGTGGGTACATATGCGTGTTTGTCTTTGTTGATGCACTATTAGAACCGAGGGGCTGTACATAGAATTTTGCTTTGGAGCAATATTTGCAAAACTTGAAAACTTCTGTATCTTGGTGTTTGGAATAAATAAATAGGTTTTTGTTGGATAAGTCTTAGTAAAGTCTTTGTTTCAATTAATGATTGCTCAATAAAATAACTTTGGACTTTTTTGCTTGACATCGCATTGAAATGCAGGTATTGTAGTTTGTCAGGTATATAGAACTTAACTGTTCCTGAAGTCTGGAAATTATTGTTTTCCAGATTTTTGTCATATAAATCTGGAAATAGGCAGACTGTTATGTACTGGGTTTTGTTCAGTATTGTTTAATGAGGAGCTTGTACATTTTATTCCCAAATCCTGATATATGTAATGGATTAGTGCTCGATACGTGTGATCTGACCCTCGTCTTTGTTCCATTTGGATGAGCAGCCTGGCGGGGCAGAGGCAGTGCAGGACTAGGGATGGGCTGAAGGAAGGAGCTCAATGCATTTGAACAATCCATACAGAGAAAACACGTGGGCATGGGAAGGGGAGGAAGCTGGTGAGTGCTGGAGGAGCAGTGTACCTGGCACAGGCTGCCTGAAGGCAGTGCAGGCATTGGTGTACCTTCAGGTGCATTTCTGGTTCAGTCTCTTCCCCTGTTTCCCCAGCAGGAGAGCAAGTGTATTCCCTGCTCCTAACAAACTTTCCTTTCTAATTTCTTTCTCAAAAAAAAGCCACTATTGTAAAACTGGATTTCAAGGCTGGAGGGCACATGGCTGCTGGAGCCTGGTTTGTGAGCCACTGGTGGCAGATCCCGGCGTGTCTCATGGCTCGTGCAGGTCTTTGCTGATCACTTACATGTCAAAATTGGGGTTTGAAGTTGCAGTCTGAATTTGACATAATTCAGTGTGCCATGGCTTGCCATGTTTTCAGGAAAGTGTGCCCTGGGATTTATTTCCTTGCCTGGTCTGAAGGCTCCTGCAGATGCTGACTCTGGCAGCAGAGCCTCAGTCAGCTGTCAGCCTGCCTGTGGTAGAGTCACCTTGAAGCTGCTCAGCCGAAGAGATCAGACACAGCCATGTTACTGTTCTCACTGTTAATTGCCCAGAAGAGGATCTGTGATTGCAGGATCTGGTGTTGATCAGGGTGCAGCCCATGGCTGGTGTTGGTGCTCGTTGTGCTGGCAGTGCCGCAGCCCTGCTGGCCCTGGTGCTGCATCTGACTGCAGGAGTGCTCGTGCCCGGGGCTGCCTCTGCTTCCTCGGCAGAGTTCTTGAGCACTGCAGGCCACTGCAGTGGTTCAGCAGAGTGTTTCATATCTGTGTGCTTAATCCTTCAGGGTGCACAGCAGCTCTTGTGAAGGAACTAGGTACAGCTCTTGTTCTGGGTAAAACCTGCCACAGGTACCCAGAACAAGGTCCTGTTTGAACAGACAAGGTAACAGTAAATACCACATTTTCTTTCCTGGTAGAGCAGAGATGCAGATAGAAAAACTGAGAGCAAACCAGCGAAACTGGGATTCATCCTGTCCTGCAGCGTGTTGCTGCTGGTGGTATTTGTGTGCCGTCAGGTTTTTGGACAGGAGGGGCTGGATGGGGCCATGGATCCTTGGAATGCTCCACACTTGGGCCTGAGGCCCTGCATGGCCCCGTTTCCCATCGAGGGGGGGGAAATGTGAGCTGCACTGGGCTCAGGAATAGGAGCTGTGTGTACCTCCTGGGCTTTCAGACTGGTGGCTTTAAGTCCTAGAGCTTGAGTACGGACATGGCAAAGGACACTAGGGAAGGACCTGCTCCTGAAGGGATGGTTTCTGTGCCCTCTTGTGTCTGTTGGGGTGAGGGTTGGCTGGATGCTGCCCTGAGCCTGGGCTCCAGGCACAGCTGTGTCCTTTGCACAGAGGCTCAGAGCTGATGGAGACACTGCCTGCTTTGCAGCTCCTCTTAATCCCTTCAGAAGTCCCTTTGATCCCAGCAAATGCTGGGCAGGTGCTCCAGGGAAAGATGCTCAGTTTGGTTTGAGGGGGATGAAGGGCAGTGCATAGTCTTGTCTGGCTGGGTCGCACATCTGGGTGTCAGTAGGTACTTGTCACTTCAGAGGGGGGTGGTGACAGGGCTCTGGGGAAGGTCATGCTGCCCACAGTGTGGCTCACGTGGCCACAGCTCTCCAGGCCTCCAGCTGTGGCTCCTCCCCTGCCCTGGCACTCGTGGGTCTTGTCAGGGCTTGTTGAGTCCCTTCAGAGCCCTCGGTGTCCCTGTCCTGCACTGCCTGGGACAGGAGCCCCGTGGCCCCCCTCCCTGGCTGAGTGAGCACTGCTGCTCCTGGGAGCTGTTGGACCCACTCTGCTTCTGTCACCTGCTGAAACCTGCCTTGTGCCCACGGGGTTCAGAGGCTGCGGTGTTCAGCCCTGGGAGGCAGGGAATGGGGCTGGGCCATTTCCCAGCATGAGTGGCACGTGCCCAGAACAAGGAGCTCTCAGGACAGGGAAGGTGGTCTCAGAGGCTGCTGGTGATGTGGCAGGATTTGAACAGCCTTTCCAACCACATCTGTCCCATATTACCTGGCTCCAGGTTAAAAATAACAGGAGCAGCAGCCTCTTGATTGTGGCAGTAGAACCACCCATGTGTGTAAATGCATCCAGCAACCTGGGTGCACATGGTGGAGGAAGGAGACCAGGACCTTCCTCACTTCACACGTGGGTCTATGGCAAAAGTAAAGGATGCAGAAACCCTCTTGAGTTGCCTCAGGGGCCCCAAGGGTGACAGCAGGAGCAAGGCCAAGGCTGAGGGGCAAACCCCAGCTTCTGTCCTGTGCTGAAGCCACCTGGGCTGAAGGTTGGGGCTGAGCAGGTCTGTAAAGCTCTAGGCAGAGAAGGAAATGAGAAAGTGATGGTGGGTTGCAAGAGTGAGCTCATCAGACAGGAACAGGAGGAGGGGACTGGAGCATGTCCAAGCCTGGGGGAAGGGGGGTCCTGCTGTACTGGCCTTGGGGTGCAGAGGGGGGAGGAAGAGAGAGGGGATAGCGCGGAGCAGTGAACCCTGTGGCCACAGAGGAACCCCTGCTTTGCTGATAAGGGCGTGTTGAAAGTGGAGGCTCAGGAGTGTGGCTGCTCTGAGGTGTTTCTGCTGCTGCCCAGGCCCCTCAGCCCCATGGGGTAGCTGAGATCAGGGTTGTACATGAGGGTTGTTTGCATTCTGCTTTTCTGAATCTACTCCTGGCACAGACCTGTTTCTTCCCCCATCATTCCTAGAACAGCAGTTGTGACAGTAAATTACACTTTTAAACCTCTTAGGTTCATAAATTTGCCCGAAGAGAGGGCCAGCCCTGACCTGTGGCTGCTCACCCCAGCTGGGGGCAGGAGCAAAGAAACAACCCCAGGGGCAGGTCACAAAGTGTTCACCAACTCTCAGCTGTGAAGGAGATGCCTTTTAATTGAGACACTACAGATGATTATTGCTGCATTTCCAGCAGGATCCTGTTTTATGGGACTTACAATCCATCTGTTAAAAGGTTTAAAAATCAGCTGCTTTGAGCACAGTCAGAGGCTTGTTTCCCCCGGCTTCTGGTCCCAGCAAGCAGATCAGTGAGTTGGGGGGGGTGAGAGCATGAGGGTCTGTGGCTGCTGCTCACAGGCCCTTCCTGCACAGGCACCCACACCCAAAAATGTTTGAGCGTGAACTTGGGGGGTCTGATGGGCTTGGGCTGTTTTTCCACGTGGGCCAGGATTTAGCCTTTTGGGCGTTTACATCCTCTCTGCTGCTGTGGCAGCGCAGACGCCAGGAGCGTCCTGTTGCAGCCTGTGGGGCAGGCAGGGCTCCTTCTCTGTGCAGCCTCTGCCGCCTCCTCCTCCTCCCAGGGGCTCTGGGTGCTCAAACATCCCATCCCAGAGTGCCCAGCCCGGGGGAGGATGGGCCCTCGGGCAGCCCCTTCCTCCTGCACCGGTGCCTGGCCCCACCTTGGTGTGGGCTGTCCGGGCCCAGTTTCCCCAGCACCGAGGAGCTGGGGATTGTGGCTGGAAGCAGGTGAAGGCTGAGCTGGGGGATGGGTGTCCAGCACAGGCTGTGGCCAGCTGGGGCCTGTCCTCAGCTGTTCTTTGCCCCGTTCCCTGCGGGGTCTGGCTCAGGG